GTGTTAATGTCATTATTTTCAAGGTAGTGTTTCTACCTGCGGGGAATTTCTAATCATAATAGCATGTCTTACACATCTGGTCATTCTCTATAGGACGTTGAGGCTAGCTAGTCCTAACGTGTAAAATCAATGGTAGTGAGATGACAGTAGATGTGTAAAAACGGCATCATAAGAGCATAACTACATGTTGCCTCTAATATACTAGTCCCAATACAACAGTAGGAGGCAACATATACTAAATATTACCTCTAATATATTAGTCCCAATACAACAAAATTATTTGTTTTATTGACTTTCATTCAATCAGCATCACTCTTTTCTATTTACTTCTTAAAATTTGTGAAAATCCTACTCTGATCCTTGCACGAGGGATGTCTCATCCTCTCTCTTCTCTCTCTTTTTATTTTCTTGTTCACCTTACTATTTATGCATATGTGCTCGGTGTTCATGGTTGTATAACAACCGTCGGATCGAAGAAACCACAGGCCAAGATCACAGCCTCCTCTTTTCGCTTATGTTTATGATTATCAGCCAAAATTTGAATTTTTAAATTTAAATTTAGAGTTGATTTTAGGGTTTTTTTTTCAATCGAAGTTTATTTTTTCAGCCTTTGCTTTAGGTCGCTAAGAGCACGTATATAAAAGTTTTATTCACAAATTGTTTTTCGCTTGTGAATATGTTGTTTGGAGCCGTCAGTTACTTCCACTGACCCACACATGCTGCTTAAAGAATTTTCAGGGTTACGGATAAGGCATACCCTCTATCCTACGACTTATGTAATATACCGATAAGTTATGTCTTCACATGTACGGATTGTTTCCGTATACGCCGTTAGGAATTTATGTCAAACTATGAAAAATATCTCTATGGGTTAAGGAATTGCCGGACTCCTACTCGGAGGGGATAAAATCTCTGGTTATATCGTGCCAATTTGCATATACCTAAGTCTTACTTAGGGGTCAAGATATTCCATGGTATAAAAGAAACCCCTAGGGAGAGGCGAAGGGCATCGAATCTAATCGTCAACACACCCACCAAAGTTTACAAAGCCAGAGTATACGGAGCCAACTCGCCGGGAGATCTCGTTGAATCCCTCGACTACGATCTCGTTGGTATCGCCTGTTTCGATTACTCTCTTTGTAATTTGTTCTCATCATCATCAATCCCATATAAACTGGACTAGGGCTATTACCTGATAAGAGGCCTGAACTAGTATAATCCTTGTCCCTTGTCTATTTTGATGTCGTACTACGTAGACCCCAGCTCCAACGTACCCCAATACTCTATCCATCCGTTCCGCGAGTATCACTCGTCGACAATAATTCTACTCAAATTCCATACTACCTCCGTCCTATCGTAGTCATGAGTTTTCGTGTCTAATTTTGATTGTCCATCTTATTTAATTTTTTTATGATTAATATTTTTGTTGTTATTAGATGATAAAACATGAATAGTACGCGTGACTTATGTTTTTTAATTTTTTCAAAAAATTTTAATTAAGACATATATAATTAAAGTTGGATCCGAAAATTTATGACTAGGTTTAAAATAGGACGGAGAGAGTAATTAGTTCCAAGACATCTGAAGCGGAATGTTAAATTGATTTAGACAGTGGCCACGATATATCCGACAGAATTGACAAGTTCTTCTATGATCACGTATTACCTCGTTCCCAAAATACTTGTCGCTTTGAGTTTTTTTTAACTTTTGATATTCGTCTTATTAAAAAATTATGAAATTATTATTTATTTTGTTTGTAATTTGCTTTGTTACCCATAGTAATTAAAGTATAACTTAATTATTCTTTTTTATATTTGTACTATTTTTTTTAAATAAAATAAATGGTTAAATGTTAAAAAGAAAAAGTCAAAGTGATAATTAAAATGGGACAGAGGTAGTATAAACGAGTAAATATTCTTTCATCGAAAGACTGAAAAAACGTACGAGTAGACGTACGTGCAGGACAGCCGGCCATGTCTGAATTAATTAACAAATGATCAGCTATCTTACGTATATAAACCCTGTTAGGATCACGAAACAATGAACCATACCAAGTAATTAGCCAGCAAACTGATCCGATCACCACCAAGTCCATTAGTTCTTAATCTTCTCTTCACATCCTTAATTATCTTTTACACCTACGTACACGTATATTTATGGCATCTACCGGTGGAGCTCACGCATTGGTGCTGCTCTTGTTCATGTTCGCCGCCGTTCTCTCGCCGGCGGCACGCAGGGAGGCGGCGGAGGCGATGCACGCGGCGGCCAACGCACGCCGCCGTCGGAGCTCCGGCCGGCCGGACGGCAAGACGATCGACCAGGGGATTGGATACATGCTGATGGCTCTAGCACTTGTTCTTACCTATGTTCTTCACTGAGGGGCGACATTTTTTTTTAACTCTTTCTTGTTCCTCGTCTTGGTATATATTTTGAGAACTAGATAGGGAAATTATTAATTATGCTAAATCCGGAAAGGATTATAGGGTGTTGCGTGGCCAAACGTGTGAGCCATGTTAAAAATTAAGTGCTAATGTATGGCGTATTAACTATTTTCTAATTTTTAATCAAGATTTTCTCCTAAAATATCTACTATTTTATAATTCATTTTTATCGTTGCGTTTATTATAATTCACATTTGTAACAAGATTTCGTTATAAATCACGAAGTATTGGCATTTGGGAAAACAAATTTGGTTTCAGTGTATTGATTGTTATGTCATGTCATGCGGAAGCGGATCCTCTGACTTGGCTCCAAAATTATGAGTGTGCAGTTCGTGTTGTATCCGCAGTTGAACTAGTCCGACGGCTCTTATTTTGCTTGCTGTGCTCATCGCTGAAGCATACCTGGCCGGCCCATCTCAGCTCTGTACAACCACGCGATGTTTTGTTACCCAAGTTTTTTTTTTTAATAAAAGGTATCGCAGAATATAGCATTACAATTCTTATTTATCCTGTTATGTTCTTCCTTTCTTCGTTGTAAAAGAAGTAGTCAACTGAAGATCCAATTTTTACCATAGACCAATTTCTGTGTGGTGAAGTAAGGAAGAAAAGACTAATAGAAAGCATTATGGATAACATAAGACTACTCATGCTTGTTATTTGTGATACCTTCAATATTGCTGGTTCAAATTACTGAAGATTTTTGCACTGCAGAATTATTTTAGTTTTTTATTTTTTAAAAAACTAGTTATTTTAGTTCTGGAGCTTGTATTCCAATGCAGCGCCTTTGTTTTTGTCAATCATATGGTCTGGTCACAGTTGCTATTGTTTACAGTGCTGTAGCTAATACTTTGAACATAATAGAGTTGTGCGAAACTCACCACTTTTTTTGTGCTTTTCGAATGGACTTTCACTTTTGAAGAGTAGTTATGTATTCAGTTTTGTGGTTAAATTGAAGTTTACTCGTCTCTGCTAGTACCCTTACTTTACAGGTAAGGAATAAGTTCACCTTGACTTGTCGACGAATCCGATTTTCGTCCTTTAACCGAAAAACCAGATGCGATAGGTCTTTCAACTATCAAAATCAGTGCAATATAGATCCCACAGTGGCTTGGATGACGGTTTTAGCTGACATGACACCTACATGGTCAATTTGACTCAGTCTTTATCGGACGTGGCACATGAAATAAAATTTAATAATTTTAAAAATAAAACAAAATATATGGGTCCACAAATCAGTCAAATAATAAAATTTAAAAATAGTGGGCCCACTACCTCCCCTTCGTCCCCTCTCTTCTCCCTCTCCTCCCCTTCTCCAGCTCTCCTTCTCCCCTCCTCCCATCGTAGAGTGCACGGCGGCGTGGCCCGCGACACCGGGGGAGGATGGCGGCATGCCCTCGGCGGCAGAGGATGACGGCGCCGTAGCCCACAACGGCAGAGAATGAAGGCGACGTGGACGCAGCTGCCGTCCTCGCCGGCGGAGGGCACGCCGAAGATTACGTAGCTGCTATCCTTGCTACTGGCAGAGGACGCGCCGAGGATAATGCAGCTGCCAAGTGTGGACCCGAAGTCCGCCTTCCATTTGAGCAGAACACATTCTCCCATGCTGATCTCACCGGCGAGGAGCTCGATCTGCAGGTGGAGGGTACGGATGTCGCGAGGACGGAGGCGGAGTTGGCTGGGCAGAGTATCTGGCCAAGCGCCTGGATGGGCTTGACGATGCCGCCGAGCACGATGCGTGCGATCTAGGAGAAGACTGTTGAAGATGACGAGTAGAAGTGGGTCGGGGAGGCGGTCGAAGTGGTCATCGCCATCGCCGATGGCGGAGGAGAGAGAGCCATCCGTGGTCTTCGCTGGCGTCTCACTGCCAGTGCGGGACCTGCCAGATCTTCGCCGAAAAGACGTGGTTACGTGCAGGGAAGCATAGCCGCGCAGGTGGAGACGCAGGGACGCCGCCAGCAAGGACGGGTTCCTGTCCTCCCTAGTGCCGGCAGCCCCACCGGCCTTCCCGTCTCATCCTATGCGCTTGCCGGTGTGGAGAGAGGAGAGAGCGTCGGTAGAGTGAGAAGACAGAGGTTGGGAGGAAGTGGGACCCACTGACATGTGGGTTCCACTATTTTCGTTTGACTGACATATGAGCCCCACCTTTTTTTAATTTTTTGGTTTCCAATTTTTATTTTTTATTTTATTGGGATCAAATTACCACGTAGGCGCCACGTCAATGCAACGTAGGACAAACATCTAGTCAAACGATCCATGTAAGTGCCATATCAGTTAAAACTGGGGTCAAATACTGCCGAGGAGATCCTCGGCAGTATCCGGTTTTGTGGATTGAGGATGAAATTTGTACGATAAATTGAGAGATGTAATGTGAACTTATTCCTTGCAGCAAAAGACCATCGTGAGTTGATGGGCCGGCTTGGCCTGCTACGGCAATCAGCAAGGCATGTAAATAAGAGCCGTCGGATTGGCCCAACGGATGATACTACCCAACTGTACGGATCAGCTTCCTGTGATGCCTTCGTGGCCCACGTAAACGTCACGCTCACGTCTCCTTTACTCACCAAGTGCGAGTCGGAGTCCGAATCCAAAATAAAGAAAGGGTCCGAGTCGGAATCGGCGTCGTGGCCGTCCGATGCGTATAAATCGACGCCTCCATCTCCTCCTCTCTTCCGATCCCCATTCATCGCTTCGCTGATTCGCTCTCCTCCTCTGCTTGACTGCTTCCGATTCCGAATCATGGCGGCGCCTGCACCCGCACCTGCACCACCGGCTTCCCGCAAGCGCGCGGCGGCGCCGGACGACGAACCGACCGCCACCGGATCCACTACTCCCGCGGCGGCGGCCGGCGCCAAGAGGCCGCGGAGGTACGCGCTGGCGAGCGTCGACGACTACGAGCAGCTCGACGTCGTCGGCGAGGGCGCCTCTGGCGTCGTCATCATGGCGCGCCACCGCCGCACCGGCAGCAAGGTCGCGCTCAAGCACCTCCCCCACGGCGCCCGCGACTTCGACGCCGTCAGGGTCGAGGCTGCCTGCCAGCACGCGTGCACCGGCCACCCCAACATCGTCCAGATCAAGGACGTCGTCGCCGACGCCAAGTCCGGGGACGTCTTCCTCGTCATGGAGTTCGTCGGAGGCAGCCTCCGCGACGAGCTACCAAGGGCCCGGCCGGAGAAGCAAGTCCGCTTCATGATGCGGCAGCTCATCGGCGCCGCCAAGAAGATGCACGCCTCGCACGTCATCCACCGGGACATCAAGCCGGAGAACATCCTCAACAGCTTCGGCGACCTCAAGGTCTGTGACTTCGGCTCAGCGACGTTCGTCAACCCCGCCGGGAAGCCATACAAGGAGTGTTTGGTCGGCACCTTGCCCTACACCTCGCCGGAGCAGCTCGCCGGCAACCACTGCTACGGCCCGGGCGTCGACATCTGGGCGCTGGGCTGCATCATGGGCGAGCTGCTCACCGGCGCGCCGCTGTTCGGAGGCGACATGACGGAGAAGGAGCTGCTCGCCGACCTGTCCGCCAACCTGGAAGACCAACTCAACGAGCTCTTCTTTGATGTCCTGCCGGAGCTGTCGCCGGCGGCACGCGAGGTCCTCTCCGGGCTGCTGGCGTTCGACCCTGAGAAGAGAATGACAGCGGCGGAGGCGCTGGAGCACCGGTGGTTCGCCGAGGAGCCCAAGAAAGCAAACTTCGCCGGCTTCGCGCCTCTGTTTGGTTAGATTGGGAGGACTGAAGAAGGCAGACAAGTCTGTAGTCTGTCAGTCAATCTGTAACTTAGCACTGATGATGTTGATTGGTAGTCTTGTGTTAGGCCTGATCATTCATCATTGTCAGTCACTGTTGATTGATGCAGTCGATGTAATTTTATTCTCTGGTTGTCAATGTAACCATGCTTATGTAAATCCTATTCACTTTGTACATAACAATTCAAGGCCTTGTTTGTTCAATAAAATCATCAGCTTGTTGAATTCTGGTTCAAGAGTGCTTGTTTGTTGTGGCTGTGTACAGCCATGTTTGTCTAGAGGCCGGAGTTTATTCCCATTATCTAAAAAAATGAGTTTTTTTTGTTAATCTTCAGGAAAAGGGATTAGTTTTGTAGTTTGTGAAAAGCATATACTAGGAAGAATAAACAAGAACAGAGTCTGCTGTACTTGTTAGCAGATCACTGTCATTATTGAACAGCAGGAAAAGAGGATCACCTTCATGTAAGTATTCAGTCAACAAATGTCTAAGATGTCAATAAGGCTGGAGTTGTGCCAGTTGAGTATGTGAGTCAGTGAGCGTGTGGGTGTTCCTAGTTCTGAACTTCTGAATCTAATAGTAGCCTTCAACAGGTGTTTTGGTTGAAATAATACTATAATCCAAAGGGGAAAAGTTTGATAAACATCACTTGTTATATCTAGTCCTTTTTGTCTGTCAAAATATGAAAAAAGTTTTGTTTTTACTCTGAACGGGAGCATCTATAATACATAACATTCAGTCAGTGGTTAGTGACAAGTTTGTTTTCACTGTTACTTGATTGAGCTGTACACCTACCAAGAAAAGGAGCATCATGTTCATTAAAGAAAACCATTACAGACTGAATTTGCAGGCTATATTTACAGCTGGTGTATATATAGTTACAGTATTTTCAGGTTTCAGTTACAGCAGAGAGGAGGTTCACAAATCACAAGGAGTTAGCTGAATATAGTAGTTGGGGTTCAGACTATTTTAACATATATTCTGAACTTTTAGGCCCCATTTGATTCGGTTGAAATCCCGGGCAAATGGGCAACGATTTTACTGCAATATTTCCACCCTATACTCATCGATCAGCCGGGATTGAGAATCATACAAATGAAGTCAGGGACTCAGGGTAAACTGGAGCTGAGCTAGTAATTATGTGCTATTCTTGTAGTAAAATAAATATCTTCCTTCTGAATTTGTGTGCTTGCTCTTTCAGCCATAGTAGCTCTGGTAAATAACTGATGCAGGTACTTGCAGAAAACCCTATGAGAATTGTAAAATAACAAGACAAAATATTAAAATTAACTCCTGCACAGTCAAAAATAATTGTGCTGACAACAATCTCTTCACTTGATTACTCCTGGTTTTCACTAATTTTCTTGACAAAGAACAACTATTTTCCTTTTTCAGATCCGAGGGTGTTTTTCCATAGTTATTTCTTACATGTGCTTGATTTTAGTCACCCTCATGACATGCAAAGCTGTGTAATCTTTGTGTCTGTCTTGCAAGAACTTCTGAAGAAAAAGACCTGCTTTTATGCATAGCAGTATAACTAATTGTCCTAAGAGACAGCTCTTCATCCTGAGCCTTTTGAAATTGTTGCAACCTTTTGTCCCTCTGTGTCACTGAAATAGAGGTCTGTATCCCTACAAATATGAATGACTGTACAAAAATTTGGAAAGAAGCACAGGCCTGAAACTGGACAGTTCCCAACTGAAGCCCAGGCTTTATTGATTCTTTGAAAAACTCATTTTTGTTTCATGTAATACTCCATAAGGGAAACCGTTTATGTATGATTAGCTGAATACATCGTATCAGGCAATAAATTCAATTGTTTTTTCAGGGAAAAAGGCTATTCTTTTGGAGAGGTGTGCCTAGAAGGAAAGATCATCTAATTAATTGGCAAGGTGATATGCATCCCTGAAAATCATGGTTATTTAGGAGTACAATATTTTGAAACTTGTAGTTCTATTGTGAGAAAGGGTTATATCAAGAAGTTATCAAGTCTTTGGGAGAATCTTTTTTTATTGAAGTGAAGCACAAACCAAGCAGCTACAAGACTCATCAGTTCCTTCAGATTTTTTTTTATTTTTTTTAGACTTCAGATTATTTGGAGTGATGCACTATGAAAAAGAATATGAACGACCACCCTCAATGTAAGTGTACTGTCTCCATTTAAATTTATTAATTTTTTTCACCACATTGTTGCTGAAGTTTTAGATGTCAGGATATTCAAGATGCTGCAAACGGAAAGCAGTAGTGTGTCACGATGATGTTATCAGAATACAATAGGATTTGGAGTAATTGAGTTGTTTCTGTTTCGGAGACAGTACGTGCAGGAGTCTGAAACTCTGAATCAAACTAAAGCATGCGATTCATGTTTTTCATGACTATGAATTCTTTTCCATCCACAAAAAAATGAACAAACAATCATCCAATTTTTTATTTTAAAAAAAGAACGATTAGACAGACGTACATGCAGGAGAGCTAGCCATGACTGAATCTGAATTGACTAATCATGAACTGCTGTCTTACTTAGTCTCTGTTCTGCATAATGTATATAAATATAAACCCTCTTGAGGATCACAAACCATCAACCACACTACCAAGTAATCAGCAAACTACTCATCTCGAAATCCATTTACTCTTAATCTTCTCTTCGCATCATCATCATCATCATCTCCTGTATACACATGGCATCTTCAGGAGCGCATGCCTTTGTGCTTTTCTTGTTCATGTTCGCCGCCGTTCTCTCGCCGGCGGCGCGCAGGGAGGCGGCGGCGGAGGCGATGCACGCGGCGAACGCACGCCGACGTCGGAGCTCCGGCCGGCCGGACGGCAAGACGATCGACCAGGGGATTGGATACATCTTGATGGCTCTTGCACTTGTTCTCACCTATGTTCTTCACTGACAACGACCCATTTTTTTTCTTGGTGTTATCACTGCTTACTGGGGATTTGTTGTGCTCACTCTCGAAAGGATAACAAGGTGTTGTGTGGGCCAGTGTGGCCAATATATGAGAGAAACCATCTTAGCCTCCCTCCGTCCCAAAAAGACTCAATTTTTGGGTTTCCGTGTCATCGTCCGTCTTATATGAAATTTTTTTACGATTAGTATTTTTATTATTGTTAGATGATAAAACATAAATAATATTTTATGTATGATTTATCTTTTTAAATTTTTTTATATTTTTTTCAAATAAGACAGACGGCCAAACGTTAGACACGGAAACCCATAATTTAAGTTTTTTTTGGGACAGAGGGAGGTTAACAAGGCAATATATAAAATTTATTCAAATTCAGTCGAAGATGTTAACTTTTAAAATAAATTCGTGCAATAAACCATCGATATTCTTGAAATTCCCGAAATTCTGGTGACCAACGAAGTTTCCGAAATTTTGGTATTTACGAAAGTGCAGATCCTTAGCATGGCTACTTCATCAAGTATCAGTGTTTAAGATCAGCACCCTTTGCATCCTACATGATTAGAAATGACAGTTTTTTTTAAAGTTATCTAAATCCAGTGTAGTGATGGTATCAATTGCAAGTTAATTTCGCACTTGACATAGGCATCGTTGGATCTTTCATTCGATGGTCCAGATCTTGCGTAGTGACTATTCATAAAGAAAGGTGAGTTAGTAAGTAGTAACATGTACTAAAGCAGGTTAGCGGTTAGCGATTAGAGCAGATCTTGCAAAGTGACTATATTCATAATGGAACGAACCAAGGACTGGTTTTTCACCGGGAAAAATAAATGTGGAAACCGACCCTATCCTATTTCTATTTTTTTCTATTTCTATTATATTTTCTGTTTCTATTATTTTTACTGTGGGCTCCGGCAAAGTAAAAAAAAAAATTGCACGGAAAAATGAAAATTAGTAAATTAGAACATGGAAACCGACACAATCCTATGCATATTATTTTTCTATTTCTATTGTTTTTCTGTTTCTATTATTTTTTCTGGGCTCCGGTAAAGGTAAAAGAAACTACTGCATGGATAAAAAAGGAAATTAATAAAGAAAAAAATGGACTATGGCACTATGCAAAGTGAGAGGAACATGAATCCAAAAATATAGTGAACTCATATTTGATATATGGTAATGTTTATCGACAGTCTCATCTTTCAACTTGGCATTAATATCTATCACTTCCATATATCTATATATTCTTATAAATTGAAATATACGCTCCTTGGTTTTTAATATACTCTCCTCGGTTTTTAATATACGACACCATTTACTTAGACATATTCTAATCATTCAGCTTATTAAAAAATTATAAACATAAAATAAATATGTAAAGCAATGATTAAAGAACCTTTAATGATAAATCAATTTATAAGAAAATAAATGACAATTACATATTTTTTAATAAGATGAATGGTCATACATATATGAAAATTAAACGGTGTCATGTATTAAATACATGAGGGAGTATCTACTTTAAAAAATCATATATTTTCCAATCATAAAAATATAAAAGACATAGATTACATATATGATTACAAATATATATAAATCTCGCTTCCCCCACTTTCGTTCTTTTCCTTCCTGTATATAGGTGAGATAATAATAATTATTATTAGTGATAATAAACTTTAAATAATTATAATTCTTACAAAGATTATATATCATTATATAACTCTTTACAAAATATTCTTCACAAAATTAGCTCTACAATACTTAAAAATAAGGTCTATAAAATTATAATTTTTACCCATTAATTAATAAATAAAAGATTTTTTTTCTTAAATCGGCGGACCATTCTATACTATTATTTTCAAATAATGAAATGTTTAAAAAGCAAAGTTTACAATATTTTACATTTTTTATCCATTAAATCAACAATTTACAATTTATATTTACTAATTTATACTTAATTAGTGAACCCACTATTTTAGATTATTTTTAACATTTTTTTGCATCGCTAGATCTATTTTTTTTTAAACAATAAAGCCTTTGAAGATCTCCCTCGGGCCATCCACACAAAGCAATTAGCACGTGTCATTGCCTTCTACATGCATGATGAAGCGTAGTACTTGTACGGTACGGTAGTACCTGAGGTAGCTAAGGTGATCACCACTGCCACAGCTCAACAGCTTTGCGGCGTGGGCCTATCAAATCATCACTGAATAATGATCGGATTTGTTAATAATATAAAAACAATTTGAAGGAGTGAGTAAAATATATACTTAAAAATAATTTTTGTACATCGTAAGTGGTAGAAACATATAAAACCCGGATCGGACCAGAAAAGTCTACCAGTACCGGAAAAATTAGATCGGTCGGTTGGAAAAAAAACCTTATACTGATCAGATCGGGAAAACCGTTTACTAGCAACAAAAGACCAGAAAAAGAATCGGGAAAACCAAATCGGCGGAAGGACCAACACACCAGATGTGCATATATTATGCAAAGATCAAGGAAATATGCATGGGTGGCGAGATTGCTAATTCGCAACCACGCGCGCACACCCGCCTGCGCGAAGATGGACAGGTGGCGTGCAGAGAGGAGGGCCGTGCCGCGCCTGGGATTTTTTTTCGCTTTTTTTTTCTTTGTTTTATTCGATTTTCTTTGGTTTTTTCTTTTCATTTTTTTTCGGTTTTCCTTTTTTTGCGTTTTTTATACGTACGGGATACAAAGTTTACATACGTGTATAAAAGTTTGTATAAGCTCAAACACAAACTTTTTATACGTGTATACAAAGTTCGTATACACGCATACAAAGTTCGTTTACGCGTGTACACAAACTTTGTATACGTGATGTGTTTTCTAGTTTTTTTTATTTTCAACTACGTACGTATGTAAAGTTTGTATACATATACGTCGTATATAAACTTTGTACACGTCGTGTGTAAACTTTATATACATGTATATTTTTATACATACAAATAAAAAATATATTTTTTATATGTACGTATGTATTGCGAATCTTGTACGCACAAAATATATACAAATAAAAAATATATATGTACGCACAAAATATATTTTTTATATGCGAATCTTGTTTACAAGTCCACATTCCATTCCTCCTGTGTCGTCTCAGCTTCTCATGTGTCATTACAAATTCTCGCATGCTCATCAAGGGTCTAATGGGGCGAAAGGGCCTGTAGCCTAGTGGTTACAAGAGCCTCAGTAGCACCTGAGGTCCTGGGTTCGACTCCACATGGGAGCGAATTTTCCAGGATTTAAATCTCTTCAGGATTTGCCGGCCTAGTCTTCGAAGATGCTCATAGGATAGGAGGTAGGGTTTGTGTGCGTGCGTTCATAGGGGTGAGTGCGTGTGCGTTGTAAATGTCTACGTTGTACTGTGTAATTCTCAAAAAAAAACTCAAGGGTCTAATGGGAAAATTATGTGTCTTTTTTTGAACGCAGTGGTAGGATTCCACGCCCACATAGGTAGAATATGACTCGAGCAAGAGGAGCTGCAGCAAGCGCTTTACTGGCATATCGAGGCAATCATCCAAGTCTGACTCGATAAAGCGATATGTCACGCTTGCATGAGAACACGGTCGTCCGACTCCGACTCGATAAAGCATATTAAAACTATAATTGAATTGGGTATATAACTCTTAATTTTTCCTTCATAGATAGAATTGTATTATTCATTGCAATTAAAATACCAACATATACCATTATACTATTATAATACCCGATATGATCTAACAATCTTATACTCAAAGTTATTATAATTGAAATAGGTACTTTGACTTTATCCGTTACAACGCATGAGTATTTTTGCTAGTATTAAAAAAAAATAAAAAATCGGAGGTAGTAATACGGAGCAATAATAACAAACATGTATGGCCAAAGTGTTACCATGCACACCCATGGTACAAATCAGGATAAGATGCAGCAAATATTCATGTATGAGCCAATGTTTGGCATGGTTTATACTATTTATTTGGATACAGAGAAAAAAGGCAAAGGAAAATAATGAGTATATGCGTATGGGCTTGGGCTGCAACATGCGCGTGCACCACGTAACGTTAAGCGCCGTCCTCGTTTGATCGTACAAAAACATCGTACGCGTAACATTTTCCCCGATGCATGTCTGATGGACTAGCTTTCCTTTTATATATTTTCAGTTGATTTTTACGGATATATGTGTAGACACTCGTAGATAAACAAGGGAAACACGGGGGACAACGACAATGCATTTTACTTCTCTCTAGCAACTTTAACAATCTCTACTGCACAGATTGCTACAAATCAAAGCAAATTAAGCTAATTAAAAAGATTACAAGAATGAATTCACGAGTCAGGACACTAGAATTAATGGTGTCGACGACCTAACTACATGTTGTTCTTCCCAGCTGCTAGGTCGGCGAGGCGCCTGAGTACGGCAGGCGAGTCCGCCGCCGCCGTGAACCACCGGTGCTCCAGCGCCGCCTCCGCCGTCATCCTCTCCCGGTGGTCGAACGCCAGCAGCCCAGCCAGCACCTCGCGCCCCGCCGGCGACAGCCCCGGCAGGCCACCGAACGCCGGCGAGTCCTCGGCTCCGACGTCGCATTCTCGCAGGTCCAGCAGGTCGAGGACATGGTCCTCACACGTCTCCGACGAGGTGAACACGAACCTGCCGGTGAGGAGCTCGGCCATCACGCAGCCCAGCGCCCACATGTCCACGCCCTGGCCGTAGAACCGGTCGCCGGCGACCTCCTCCGGCGAGGTGAACCGGAGCGTGCCGACCAAGAATTCCTCATACGGCGGCATGACCGGCGTGGCGTCGCCGAAGTCGCAGTACTTGAGGACGCAGCCCGGGCCGACGAGGATGTTTGCCGGCTTGACGTCGCGGTGGATCAGGCCGGCGCCGTGGATCGCCGCGGCGCCAGCGAGGAGCTGCCGCATCAGGGCGCGGGTCTCGGCCTCCGAGAAGGGACGGCCGACGGTGAGGTCGCGGAGCGTGCGGGTGCCGACGAACTCCATGACGAGGTACACGTCGCCGCTGTTCCATGGGTCGGCGGCGACGTCGAGAAGCTGCACGACGGACGGGCTGCCGCGGCACGCGGCGAGGCAGTCGCGTTCCCGGCCGGCGAGCGCGACGGCGTCGTGCTGCTGCTGCTGCTGGCCGTCGTCGAGGTCTCCACCTGGCGGGTGGAAGCACTTGATCGCCACCGTGTCGCCGGTGCGGCGATCGCGGGCCTTGCGGACGACGCTGCACGCGCCCGCCCCGAGCGTCCCCAGGCTGTCGTAGTTGTAGATGTTCGTCAACGTACTGCAGTGCGACGCACCGGAGCAGGCGTCGCCGCCGCCGTCGGCCGCCGGGTGCTTGCTGGCGATCGTCGCGGCAGCCATGCCTCCGATCCCTAGGTTGTTGGAGATCTTGGCAACAATGGTGAGTGGTGGAAGGCTGGATGGGAATAAGAGGTATGCAGAGGAATGGACCTCGATCTCGATCGAAGCTGCTCTTATGGTGAGTGGCTGTCGTACATGACGGACTCGGATTAAGAATGCGCGCGTGCACGCGGCAAATCGATGCCGAGTCGGATTCGAACTTGGAGCTGTAAGTAATAAGTACACGTCTCGCATGTTTTGTTTTCCATGGTTTTTTTTTTTTTCCTGATTGTGTTTTGTTGTTTGCTTGTTTTGCATATTTGGCGTGTAGTTGCATGCATGAGTTGATATTGGCTGATATATTATTTCATACTAAAATTACATTAACCTTACTATAAACGTTTATATATATATATATATATATATATATATATATATATATGTAAATTTGTTTGGTGCTCCATGGTGCCCGGGCACCATTGTTGAAATTGAGTATATACCCAATTCAAATGAGTATGAAACCTTTTCAATTACTTAGGTATTAACATTAACTACTTTACTAACTAGTTTAAAGCAAGTTTGAACTGAATTTGAACTTGTTTTTGTTAGATTTTGATTCTAGGTATATAGCATCCATACATATAATTAGTTAGGTATGTAATCATGGATTGTGAAATAAAGTTAAATTTGAGTTGTTTTGTTGATAAGTATAGGTATGAATCAAATTATTATAACTAGGTATATACTCACAATTTGAAAATTTTGAAAAATTTGAGTCATTTTGTGCATTAGATACCATGGTGCCCGGGCACCATGGTGCCCCATATGAGTGTCCTATATATATATATATATATATATATATAAACTATTCTACACCCAGGCATAGAATAGCTATTCTATACCCCCTCCCTCCCAAGGGTCACACCCACCTTCCCCTCCTTACCAAGGCCCAAAACCCACCTCCCACCTCTGTAAAAGGCCGGTCAAAGCCCCCTCCCGCCGGTCAAACCCGCCTACTAACTCCCCCCACCACCCACCTCTTCTCAGATCTCGTCCCACAGAACGTGCAGTAACACGACGACCAATGTGCAGTAACACTGTGTCTTATGTGTAGTAACAACGTTCAAATATAGTTGAAATATAGTCATGACGGATCTACTTTTGATAAGCACTTTTTCTCTAGCATCATGGTGCAAACGGTTTTGAAAAACCTTACATCACTTGGGAGATATTGTTCTTCAAAGCTTGACTTTTTGTAATTTGTCTCTCCACAAGTAGTAATGCTATACTATTACTTGTTACTACATGTCTGTTGTACGTTACTACAATCGCATAGCGATGTTACTGTAAGAGTGCTAGAAACACTATAAGTTCAGTAACAATGCATCTTACTGCATTTTTTGGATAGTGTTACTGCATCAACATGTAGTAACGTGTAACTGTCATGCAGTAACACTTCCACTTTTGCACAGTAATTCAGTTCTCGTTTTGCAGGAACGGCATAGTAACATGATGGTCAACGTGTAGTAATACGACTGCTTTCCGCAGTAATGATGTCAAAAAATAGTCATGATGGATCTAATTTCATTAGGCACTTTTTTACGAGCACTACAGTGCAAACGGATTAGAAAAACAAGATATGATCTGAGAGATTGCTCTCTAAAGACAGAGAGTTACCTCTTTTCAATTTTCGTCTCGTAGGAACGGTGTAGTAACACGATAGTCAATATGCAGTAACATGACTAATTTCCACAGTAACGGCGTCAAAAAATAGTCATGCCAGAAGTGCAGTAACAGACTACAAGTTTTGCAGTAACGTATCATGTTACTGCACTTCTACATCCATGCTAGAAGTGCAGTAACAGACTGTAAATTTTGCAGTAACGTATCATGTTACTGCACTTCTTCTATAACGTTACTACCGAATTATAGTAACATAATGATATCTAATCACACAGTGTCATATGTTGAATGGGTTAGGAGAGCTTTTCATGAACAATGAGCTCATGTGTTCAAATCTTGAATTCACCAAATTATTTTTAATTTTTCTAGAAAAGAGAAGAAAAAAAGGTTTATTTCCAAAAAAAACAGAGAGAAAAGAGGAAGAGAAAAAAAGCCAAGAAAACGAGAGAAGGGAGATCGAGCAGGGAGGGGAGGCGCTAGAAGAAAAAGGGGAGGGGAGGGGAGAAGGGAGATCGAGCAGGGAGGGGAGGGGAGGAAAAAAAAAGGGGAGAAGAGAGATCGAGCAGGGTGGGGGAGGCGCTAGAAGAAAAAGGGGAGGGGAGGGGAGAAGGGAGATCGAGCAGGGAGGGGAGGGGAGGAAAAAAAAAGGGAGAAGAGAGATCGAGCAGGGTGGGGGAGGCGCTAGAAGAAAAAGGGGAGGGGAGGGGAGAAGGGAGATCGAGCAGGGAGGGGAGGGCGCCAGAAAAAGGGGAGGGGAGGGGAGGGGAGGAAAAAAAGGGGAGAAGAGAGATCGAGCAGGGTGGGGAGGGCGCCAGAAAAAAAAAGGAGCACGCACAGGAGACATAGGGTGCGGGACCGGAGGGGAGGGGGATGGAGGGGGAGGGGTACAGAATAGTTATTCTATAGGGGGGGTGTAGAATCGTTTATATATATATATATATATATATATATATATATATATATATAGAAAAACTATTCTACACCCGGGTATAGAATAACTATTCTATACCCCCTCCCTCCAGGGGGCAAAACCCACCCCACACTTCGGTCAAACCCGCCCTTCACTTTTCCCACCACCTCCACTCTTCTCAGCTCTCATCTCAGAACGATATAGTAACGCGATGTTCATCGTGCAGTAACATCATATCTTACTTGCAGTAACAATATTGAAATGTAGTCATAATATAATCATGACGGATCTACTTTTGATAAGCACTTTTTTTCTAACATCATGGTGCAAATGGTTTTTAAAAGTAGTACATAATGTGAGAGATATTACCCTTCAAAGATTGGTTTTTTAAAAATTTGGCTCTCCACGATACTATATCATAAGTATTACTGCTGATCTGCTATGCGTTACTGCAATCATATAATGCCGTTACTACAAGATGTAGTAACGATTATAAGTTTCATAGTAACATAGTGTGTTACTCCGATTACTTGATAACGTTACTACAAGAATATGTATAGTAAGAAAAAAAGTGCAGTAACATGGAGAGAGAGATGAATTGGCTCGGTTTACTTATGGGGCAAGGGTAGAGAGAACCTTCAAAGATTGGTCTTTTGAAATTTAACTCTCCACAAGTGTTATTACTATCTATTGTACGTTACTACAATCCCATCATAACATTATTATGAAAGTGTGGTAAATTTTATAAGTTTTGCAGTAACAAAGCGTCTTACTGCAATTCTTGAATAGTGTTACTACATACACTTGTGGTAACGTGTATCTGCCATGCAGTATCACTTATACTTTTGTGCAGTAACAAATATATGGTTAGCATATAGATTTTTAACTTATATATTTTTGTTTCGATTCCTAGTTTACTACAATTTCACTACGATGTTACTATCAAAAGTGCAGTAACATCCTATATGTTTTGCAGTAACGTGACGTGTTACTATACTTATACGATAATGTTACTACTAAAACATAGTAACTTGTTATGAGTTTTGTAATAACATATATATTTCTCTTCTACTTAGCTTCTTACAACTATGGAACTTTGTGTCCTGTAGAGTTGTAACAGTTTATGTGCTTTTACAGTAATCGAGTATGTTACTACTATTTCTTCTCGAAGATTGGTCTTTTGAAATTTATCTCTCCATAAGTAGTAATACTAAATCATTATTGTTACTACTTTTTATTGTGTGTTACTACCATTCCATCATGACGTTACTGTATGTGTGCAGTAACAACTATAACTTTTAATAACTTTTAAAGAAACAGTGCATGTTACTGCAATTTCTTAATAGCGTTACTGCAATAACAGGTGGCAACAACTAAACACAGGTACAGGACCTATCACCCACTTTAAACTAGTAAAATGTAAGTGCAAGTGATATCTTTTGAATTCACATCTTTAAACAATAATATCTCTCACACCACATATTATATTTTTGAACCGTTTGCACTGTAATGCTTTAAAAAAAGAGCTCTACAAAACTAGATCCGTCATGACTATATTTTAACTATATTTTATTAGTGTTACTGCAAGTAAGGTACAGCGTTACTGCATGGTGGTCGTCATGTTACTGCACCGTCCGTACGAGCCAAGGACAACAAATAGGTGGATGTGGGAGGAAGTTAGCACACGGGTTTGACCGACATGGCAGCGATTTGACCGTCCTTTGACCATACTTTGACTGGGGTGTGAGGTGGGTTTTGAGCCCAATAAAAGGAGGGGGAGGTGGGTTGGGCTCTTGAGGGGGAGGGGGGTATAGAATAACTAGTTATTCTACCCCGGGTGTAGAATAGTCTCACCATATATATATATATATATATATATATATATATATATATATATATATATAAACTATTCTATACCTGGGTATAGAATAGCTATTCTATACCCCCCTCCCAAGGGCCAAACCCACCTCCCCTCCCTTTTAAGGGCTCAAAACCCACCTCCCACCTCAGTCAAAGGTCAGTCAAAGCACCCCCACGTCGGTCAAAACCCGGTCAAACTGCCTACCAACTCCCCCACCACCCACCTCTTCTCAGCTCTCGTCTTACGAAACAGTGCAGTAACGCGACAGCCATCGTGCAATAACACTGTGTCTTACGTGCAGTAACAACATTCAAATTTAGTTAAAATATAGTCATGACGGATCTACTTTTGATAAGCATTTTTTTCTAACATCATGGTGCAAACGGTTTTAAAAAATCATACATCACATGAGAGATATTGTTATTCGAAGCTTGGGTTTTTTGGATCTTAACTCTCCACAAGTAGTAATACTATAGCATTACTACTTGTTAGTACTATCTGTTATGCGTTACTACAATCCCATCGTGACGTTACTGTAAGTGTGTAGTAAAAACCATAAGTTTTGTA